GTTGTGATCCTTCCGACTCCAGCCTGAAAGATGCAGTTCCTAATGGCTCTGTGTGCCAGACTCATTACAAACCAAAGGGGTTTTTCTTTTCATAAGTAGTTTTTTGGTTTGGTTGGTTCTTTTTCCCCCTCAGCAAACCAGCATATAACACTGGAAGAGAAACAGCAAATGCAGCTCTAGCAGTACCATGTCTATGATGCGCTCCCTGATTTTTATACCCAACTCAGTATGGCAAACCTCAAATGTGTAAGGTCTCTGTTATGTTTGTGGCAGTTCCTTCTCTCAAAATATTAGCAGGGAAATAAGAGATAATTTAGAGCCTCAGCCTTTGGTGTTGGAGGTACCATGTTTCTCTTTTCCACCTCTCCACAGTCCCAAAATTTTACTTACTTTCTTAAAATGAGCATTCTTAAAATGATTAAGAAATAGCAACTCAGGCAACAGCCATCAAAGTTCTTCTGAGTGCTAATAAAGGAAAGGCAGTGAAAAATAAACAGTTCCGTGATTTATGTTACTAAGAAAGCTTTATGATTATCCTATTTAAATTGAATTAAATGAAATAAAACAGATGCAGGCAATTTGTTAACCAGACTCAAGGAAGGATTATGCTCAAAACTCAAATTTAACATAAACAATTCTGGTACAACAAGTGCAATTGAAGTTGCTAGCGATATAAAGTCAGCAGAGACCACGAGAGGTCTAAAATTAAATACTGCCACATCAGAACGACATAATAAGGCCATGTATTTCAAGATTAGTATGAAGAACTTCAAATACAAGCTCAGTTAGAAATGACTGGAGAGAAGAACCTGAGTGGTTTGCTGAAGCACAAGAAAACAACACGAAGCAGCCAAAGAAGGTGTCAGGAGAAGCCTCAAAAAAAATAGGGAAGGATTAGATCATTTTCAAGACACTTGAGTATCTCACGGGGCTATCTGGGTTAAGTGATACCTGAATCATTCGAGTTTAAACATAACAGCTCCTAGAATGCTCTGGAGGGAAAAAAGCATGTTGGGAATAGGAAATAAACCCAGCTTTCCTTAGCCTAGCAGATCAAAAGGTGAGAGATACGAATGCTGCCTATAAATACACCACAGTGAATACAAACTATAAGAGGGGGAAAAGTCATTAAGGAGAAGCACAGTGCCAGCACAGCAACAAAGGTGCATTAAAACAGTCAGTACATAGTTAAACAGTTAAGTTCTGCCCTAGTTCACTGATTAGAACAGCAGGCACAAAAAGTACCTACTTTAAAAATAACGATAAATAAATTTATTAGGGGATTGCCTGAAATTAGGCTTTTAACGACAAAGGATGAGACCAGATCGCCCAGGAAGGTCCTGCTAGTCCTTTAGAAGTAAATATGCACACTCATGTCTGGAGCAGAGAAGCAATTCGAACAGCTCCCATATGTTCTGCTCCGGCCTGTCTGGAGCAGGGAAAGGCTGTTCCTTTGGCAGCTCCGAGCTGGAAGAGCCCAGCAAGGCCCACGTTTCCTCCTGTCTGGACAAAGCAATTCCCGAGGTGCTGTCGGAGGGCTGGAGGAGGCACAGAGGCCGGGCCGGGCAGTGGTGCCCGCACGCCGAGGGGCCCTGCCCGCGCTCCGCCGTGAGGGGCGGTCAGGGCGGCGAGCCCGGCCCGGCCATCCCCGCGCTCACGGCGCCGCGGGGACACCGGGGCGCACCGGGCAGGGTTCGGACCTCCCTCCCGTCCGCCGGGTCCGACCGCCCTTTTACATAACGGGTGGCGGCGCCGCGGTTACACAACGGCGGGGCTGCCCCGGCCCGGCTCGCGGTGCCGGCGTGAGGGACGGCAAGGGGTCCCCCAGGCTCACCTCAGCCCCTCAGCGCCGCCGCCATGGCAGCCCCTTCCCCCCGGGTCACCTCTGCTCCCTCCGCCGGGTCCGGCACCCCGAGGCTGCGGACGAGCAGCCTCCCCACCTCTTTTCCTCTTTCCCTACCTCCTTGCCTTCCTCCCTCCTTCCCTCCCTGCCCGCCACCGCCAGCCCCTCATCGCCCCCTCACCATCGCGGCGCTGGGTGCCGCCGGCGAGCGCCCAGCCAGCCGGTCCCGACGCTGGGCTCCTGCTCTTTCCTTTTTTTTTTTTTCTTCTCTCCTCCCTCCCCTCCCCGGTGTTTATCTCCCCGACCTGGAAGTGAATGTGCCTGAGCCGGCCGGGACGCGACGCCAAGCCCGCCTCCCTTAAAGGGGCTGCGCCGGCACAGCTTTGTGGGGTGCCGGGAGAGCGGAGCTTCTCCAGGGCTCAAAGTGTGAGGAGAAGGGGCCATTGCTCAGCAAAACCCATCGGCCTCGCTGGTTACTTGTGTGCGGGGAACCTTCCTGCCGCCTGGTTGCTCTGGGTTTGGAGCCAGGATTCGGGAACACCGAGGCACCAGGAGTGCCCGGGCTGGAGCAGGTGAGCTGCAGCTCCCTGTGTCTGGACCTCTCACAGCCATGAACCGGTGTCACTTCTTGCTTCGTGCTCACAAGCCTCTGAAATTTGTTTCCTGAACGAACTAGTTTATTCTGGTAATATGAATAGTAGCCTGCACCACTACAGTCGCTTTTGCCATTTACTTTGGAGAGGAGCTTTGCCATAAGGAATAAACTATTACAAATAAAGTAATTTCAGGATTCAGATATAGTAGTAGTGAGGAAAACCTGTCTCCCAACTAATACGTACTACAATGTATTGCTTGTAAAGGGAATAGAGTTATTTTTTGTTTCAGAATACAAAGTAAAGAGTAATACAAGTACCCCGACCAAATAAAATGAATTTATAGAGTTTACTCTTGAAGAAATGCTGATTCTACATACAGAAGCTTTGGATAACTGTTGTTTGTAAACCAGCAAGGCACATAAATACATATTAAGGTATAATTGCTACAATAACTTACATTTCTGCCATTACAAGCTGACAAAATATTCTACAAATACTATGAAGCACAGTTTTGCCTGTTTAAGGACTACATAACAAGGGTCAGTTATAGTCCCAATTCTTTAGATTAGGGTGCTGATGTAGAGAAAATAAATTATGTACTCTGGATCTGACAAGAACAGAATTAAGAGTCTTCATGTTCTGAATTTAACTTAAAAATCTAATCTCCTTAGAAGAAATAATTTATATTATTATGAACACAGAAATTAGCTTAGATTAGGAAGGAGCTGGTCTTATTATTCTTGGTCCATTATGAGTTTCATCCACTTCCTAATGCCTTTACAAACTTCCAGGCTGTTCTTTTGATACCTGTATAACAAATTCACTGATTCACTCCCAACTTCTGTACAGATGTCACCTTCTCTTTCTCATTCCTTATGGATTTATGATAGAAACTATCTTCCTTTCTCCTGTCTGGGCTCAGACAGTGAAAACTTTGAAGTGACAGACTGATCCCCTGCTCCCAGTGCCAGTTCTTGGCCTGCCCCGCTGTACTTGGGAATCCTCTCTGTCACTCCATTCCTAGTTTGGAGAGGCCGTATGGCTGAGTTGGCACCGGCTCAACATCGGCATCAGAAACTGCAAAGGCAAAATCCCAGCAGGAGCACACTCTTCAAAGACTTAAACCAACAAACTCAAGGAATTTCTAGTGACTCTGTGCAAACTGGAATGTTTTTCAAAGATGTTTTTTCAAAGAAACAATATTTCTGGTACAAAATCAGTTAATTTTCCAAAAGCCCTCTCCCGAACACAAGCTTCCCACAGTCTCCAATCGCAGCCAGCATGGACCAAATGATGTGTATCTTCTTGCTTGTGTTCTCTAGTGGGTTTGGGTCAATACATTTTGAACACAAGATTTTAGCTTCCTATGAAAAATGTGTTTTAACTGCAATCCAAATTTAGAGCAGTCTGAAAACTTTTAGGGAAATACTTTAGAAGCTGTAAATGGTGTTTCAGCCATGTGCCCAGCTGAGTTTGCTGCCAGTCTGGCTGATGATGGTTGGTCACAATTAGCTCCAGCCCTTAATAAACGATTGGGCTTTTTCCTATGGGACTCTCTACACAGGATTTAACTGAGTTTTATTTATCCCAAAAACTTGGCAAGCCGGTCTTATCCTACTGAAATAATTTGGGACAAAGCCTTTGCAAATATTCTCTGTAATTCATTTTAACTCAAGCGTACTTTCACATTAATTTTAACTCTAAGCAATTCATCACATAAATTTCTAATGTGCTGCTTTACAGAAAATTCGGTTTGTGCTCAAAACTGCTGGAATTGGATAGTGTGCCATGTTTTGTGTAAGTATTCTAATATCACATTCGGGTTAAGTTCATCCATAGCGTTGTCAGTGCCCATCTCCGGAAGTGTTAAAGGCCAGGTTTGATGGGGCTTGGAGCAACCTGGCCCAGTGGAAGATGTCCCTGCTCATGGCAGGGGGTGGAACGAGCTTTAAGGTCCCTTCCCACCCAAACCATTTCGTGATTCTCAGATCACTGGAGAACCAAGGTTTGATGTGTGTTAAGCGCTTACCAGTCCCTGAGTGTTTTTAGCGCCCCTGACACTGCCAGCTCAGAGACACTCGGTGTCAGGTTCCAGCTCTTCCAAGAGCACCTCCAAGCTTTTGTGGCACCACAGAAAGGGGCGGTGGCTGAGAACAGTCTCTCGCCGCAACTCCTCCGTTCTGAGTTGGAAATTATGGAGCTGTTAATCCAGACAAAAGCATGCGGGAGGCAGATGGGGGAATGGGGGAAGCAACCGTGACTCGTAAGCCATGCAGAGCGCATTAATGTACATAGTCTCGATTGTCTCAGTCTCAGACATGTCTCAACTTGTGGACTGGAGTGTTCCGAATCAGACCGAGAATACACATCCAGTGGTGCAAAACTGAGAGTAAAATACTAACAGCGTGCTATCGCTTAAAGCTGCTGAACTGTCAGAGTTCCCGGTGAGAGCGGGAGGGAGCGGCGATGGGAGGAGCGGTGGGGGAATGGCCGGCCGACGAAGGAGCAGGGGGAGTGGCCGGGGAAGGGGCGGGAGGAGAAGGAGCAGAAGGAGTGGCCGGGGAAGGGGCGGTCCCGGTGCCGCACGGAACGCTCGTTCCTCGCGGGAGCGGCCCCGCGATCTGCCCGTGCCCCGGCGCGGTCATGGCGGGGTTCATCAACTTCGCGGACGAGGAGGAGGTGCGGGCGTACCTGGAGAACCTGCACGTGGAGTACAGCTACCAGTGCTTCAAGGAGAAGGACCCGGACGGTAAGGGCCCCGCCGCCCCCCGCTCCCGGCGGGCCCGGCGGGAGCTTATCCCCTGTGCCGTGCCCCGCAGGCTGCCAGCGCTTCGCGGACTACCTGGACACCATCAAGAAGGACTTCGCGGCCGCGGCGCGGGTGATGCGCGACAACTGCGAGGAGCACGGGCACAGCGAGAGCTGCTACAAGCTGGGGGCCTACCAGGCCCTCGGCAAAGGTGGGCCGGGGGGCTCTTGCTTTTGTAAAGGTGCCTAGCACCTGGAGTCAGAGAATTGAATCACCAAGGTTGGAAGAGGCCTTTAGGATCATCAAGTCCAACCGTTCATCCAGCACTGCCACTGTAACCCCTAATCCACATCACCCGGCGCCGCATCCAGACACCTCTTAAACCAGGGATGGTGACTCCTCCACCTCCCTGTATCAATACCTGACCACCTGTTCCAATACCTGACCCCCTCCCCCGAATACCTGCGTGTCATCCTGACCTTGAAGGAGCCCCTGTCCCGCCCCTTTCATGGTCACCTCATAAAAGCAGGGGAAGGGTGGAAACCTGTAAATTGCTTCCTTCTGAAGTATCAGCTGTAGGTTAACCACGTGTATTATTTTTTTATAATTACATCTGTATAAGTGGTAAGTATAGACAGGGCTCAATGTTGCAGTGTGTTCAGTTCTTAAGATTAGGATTTCTTCTCTTTTAGAGAAAGTAAGAAAGTCACTGACTGGTAACCCTGCTTACCTAGGTAGCCCCCGAGTCTGCCCAAAATGTATTTGCTGGTACAGTAATGGGAAGCAGTTAAATGAGTGGAACATCTTCCAGATGACAATACTAGTAAGGAAAAATATTTGTACTGTAGCTGAAAACTAGTAACAGTTTCAGTGCATGTGTAGGTATACTGGCAAAATATTTGCCTCGTGTAAGTAAGAAATCCATGGATATAGTAGTGGAAAGAGTGTTTTGTTGGTTTGGCTTATTTTTTGGTTACAGGTGCTGTTGTGATTACTTATGAGTGGAGGAGAGTTTCCTAAGTCAAAGACATTGCAAAACCTTTGTCACTGAGACAATGGTGGTGTCTCTGAAGTCCTAAATGTTGACTGTGGTATCTAGAGAGAGGGATGCTGTATTTCCAGTGGGAAGGGAAGCATGCTGCAAAGCAGAGAGACCTCCTATCTGTTTTATCATGTCCTTACTGAAATGTTTTGGGTTCTTGGCTGACAGGTGGACTTGAACCAGATTTGAAAGCTGCCTACAAGTCTTTCCTGAAGTCATGTGAGAAAGGTGGGAAGAAGTCAGTGAATGCCTGTCACAACGTCGGGCTGTTGGCCCACGATGGGAGAGTGAACAATGACAAACCTGACCTCGTGGTCGCTAGAGACTATTACACAAAAGCCTGTGATGGCAATTTTGCTGCCAGCTGCTTCAACCTGGGTGTGATATACCTGCAGGGGGCACCTGGGGTCCCCAAGGACATGGGCCGTGCCCTGAAGTACTCACTGAAAGGGTGTGAGCTGGGGCACATGTGGGCCTGTGCCAATGCCAGCCGCATGTACAAACTGGGAGATGGCGTGGAAAAGAATGATGCTAAGGCAGAGGATCTGAAAAACAGGGCAAAACAGCTGCATAAAGAACAGAAAGAAGCTTCGAGTTCTTTAGTGTTTGGGCAGTAATGTTAGTTGCAGTTATTAAGACTGCAGTTTTATTAAATGGCAAGTGAAATTATTTAAACTGGAGCATACAGTTTTCACTTAAATAAATATCCTGTATTTGGATATGCAAATAAACTTATATTTTTGTGAATGCGATAAATGACTAACTCTCCTGTGCCTTTCTACATTTTTGAATACGCGAGTTCTTTAAGTGTATTGATCAGATACATTCTCTTTTTTAAAGAAGTTGAAAACTGGCCTTTTGGAAGTTTGTCCCCATGGTGTCAAGTACAAAGGCTCTCTCCTGTGTCCAGTGCTTCAGATCCGAGGCTTGTGCTCAGACGAGTTGTAACACACACAAAAATCACAGTTGCAGTTCTGACCTCCTGGGCAGTCAGAACTGTGCCATCTCCCACACAAGCACTTGTGGAACTAGGATAGCTGCACACTTAGGTGAGCTGCTCTAAGGCAGGGGTACTCAGCTGTAATTCCATAGGCTTAGACCAATTCCTAGCTCCTTCACTTATCTCCTTCACTTGCCAGCTGGTTTGTGACTGTGTGCCTGGGTGCTTTAGGTTTGCTCTCCAACACACATGATCACCCCTTATTCAATCACACACAAGTTATTTTACTTTTCTGACAGCTTCTGTAACATTATGTTCTATTTTTTTATAATACAGATTTAGGGAATAAGGTGCTAACTGATCAGATCTTGGATTCAAATCCATAGCTTAATTATATCCAAAATGTTAAGTAAACATGCAGATTCTGGAACAGCTCTCTAAATAAGCAGGTCCGTGAGTGTAAATGTATTCATGCACTGACAGGATCCTTTCTAATTTTGGTATGTATAAATACATGGGAAGTTTGTGATATGTGTGTGTATGTTTTGCTGTAAATTCACTGCTGATTTAGAACATGAATGCTCTGGTGTGAATAAAGGTACAAACTTACTATTGAAATAAGTGAAGTGGGATTAAAAGCAACACTAATTTGGCCGTTGCCATAACTGAAAGCAGAATTGTTAGAATCTACATGTATGAATTAAAGCTTGACTATGCTTTGAACATACTTCCTGGAAAGGAACTGCTTCCTGCTGGAATAGAACCCCCGGCGGGACAGCACAGCAGCGACAGGGACACACCGTAACAACAGATGGCAGTGTATGAAAACATTATTGCAAAGGCTCACAGGGCCTCTGGCTTGTGTATTCAGCAGCCTGGAAAAACAAATAGTGGTGACAAAAGTGAAAGTAATTCTTCTGTTAACAGTTAATATTTTATGACAGTTCAGAAAGGTAAAGCTCTTGGAGGAACACACTTTGCCCAATTCTTTGCGATTCTGGACATTTGTTTAACTTGGGAAAGGTAAGTAAATGCTACCTCTGTGCAGTGTAACACTAGTAATAAAACAGACTGTGTGTGTTCAGAAGTAAGCAATTACTGTCGGGTCAGGGCACTGGAGAATTGGGTGACATTTTAAGCCCTGATCTGTTTTTTGAGCTTGCAATACTCACTGCCTCAGAGTGGCCTGTTCAGATCCTCAGTCCAGGCACCAGAGCAAGCTTTCTTCCACCAGGACTAATGATTTTTAGTGAACCCTCCCAGGAACCTCCAATCAACACAGGCACCTGGGAACATCCTCAGTAAAAGCAACACGTGTTTCAGACAATTAAAGCCACATATAAAGTGCATGCTGTGGGAGACCTTTGCATAGCACTTGAGAACTCACAGACTTGCAGAGTTTAAATATTACAAAAAGAAGCATTTTCATAAAAGCTGTTAAGTGTGTTGGTAAGATAAGTTTATGAAGTATCATCCAATTTTGTACCACCGGTTGAAAAGGCAAACCCAAATTAAGGAAGGCTCTTAAGACTGTGTTTCCAGTCTGTCTCTGAACAGTTTGCTGCCTGTTCTGCACACACCTATACCTTTTTTACACAGATACTGATGATGCTGATGAGTATGGTCCCCTTCTGTAAGACTCTTTTCCCTCCAAAGTGACATGGCACTAAAAAAAAAAAAAGATGAGTCTCATTTCAGTGTATTACAAATTCTATGTGGTTAATGCAATCTGTAGCAGCATATAGCCTCTATGAATAGCAGTCTATTCTCAGCCTCAAGATTATATTCAGGAGACATAATCAAAATCTGTTAAGAGGTGAAAATTGTCCTGCAAATCTTGGCTTATAACCATCTTGCTCTAGTATTATGAGGGTATTACGAAAAGGCTCATATTTCCTGCTGTTTCTTTTTACCTGATGTTACAAAGGCTAAATTTTATTTTCTCCTGGGAAGAAAACTTTCTTCAAAGCCTCTGAGGTCGTAAAGAAAGAGTGACAGATATGTGATCATAATAGCATGCTTGGAAATGTTGAAGAACCTGTTAATCTCTTCAGGATCAGTGGGTTTTCTAAGAAATAAAAGAATTTGTCTCGGTTTCACAGCTCCTAAACCTTTCCCTTTCATTTTTTTGCATTGATCTAAGCTCACACCGACCTCTGTTAATAAAGCAGCAATACACTTCAGAAGGAATGGTGACCAGCTCTAATTAATTAAATAGACTTGTGGATACCTGGCTGTAAATGATGAAAGCATTCTCTGCAGGATGCTTCCTGCAGCTCTGGAAAGATCACCAGTGGAGTGCTGGCTTTGTACCAAGATTAGAAACACTGGCGCCACATCATGTTGTGTCATTAAGTGTCATTTGGGTTAATTCTGGACAAAAGATGCAGTTGGGTAAAGGAGCCACATGACATTGCAGAAACAGAAAAACAGACTTGTTCTGGTGGTTCTGTTTCTGTGTTATATTGTAATAAAAGCAGTTTTGCATCTTTCTTACTGTTTATTCAGCCGTCAGTGGCAACTCCTCTCTGCAGTGTGTGTGTGAAGGGACTTCTTGTGGCTGTACATACCCACCTAGAGGGACAGTCTGGGGGACTGTGTTTGTGTCATTGCCACACCAAGAAACCAGAATGAGAGTGTTCCTTGTTACAGCACAACCTTTTTATTGTGCTGTACAGAAAGAAATACTCTGTCAGCAATTTTTCACTCACCATGTGAGAGAGAAGAACTCTCAAGTAGCTTTTCTTCTCCTTTGGTAGATGGCGAAGGAAGAATTCCTCCTTCCCTTGTGCTTCCCAGCATCTCATCCACTAGACCTCAGAATGACACAGTTCTTCTCAGGTTGGCCTTTTTGAGGGGGGAAGCAAAAAGAGAGAGAGGAAAAGGAGTCATGACACAGCAAGAAACGCATTAGAAAACAAGCAATATCAGTTGTGTCATCATTGCAATAATCTGTGCTGGGGTAACACCCAGGTGTCCAGTTCAGACCCTGCTATTGGGCCAATTGTGTGCCCCCATAATGCCACCCCTGATCCAGAGATGCACAGGCTAAGAGTCAGGATTGTACAAAGTCCCTACTACATATTGCAGCAGTAAACACTGGTGTCCTGCTCTGATTTTCCAGACACTGTATCAGCAATATGGCCTAGAATCCTCACAAAACAGATTCTCCAAGACTCAGAAGGATCAATTCTGTGCCAAATTTTCAACGTCTGAATTAGTTTGCCATGTCTGTAGCCTCCCAGTGCTTTCATTTTTCAGTATCCACACTTGAAGCAAGCACAATAACCACGAATTACACTAATTTCAGATTATATCATATATTTCTGATTTGATGTTATTGCCTTCTACTCCTAACACTACTTACAATTACTATTGCTATATTCATTCCGAATATGTTTTATGTTTCTTACAGACACACCTTTTCAGTCTTGTTTGTAATACCATAATACATTTGTTTAATATTTTATAAAGTATTTTTGTAATCCTTTTTCTCCCTAATCAACTAGTAGGAAATTTGTGTGCTATGGAATTACAAAATTTAGGCCACTTTGGAGTGGTGATTTCAGATGGGGATTTGTGAATAGCATAATTGTAATACATGCATACACTCCCATTCATGAGTATGGTGGAAGTTCTCTGTAGGATCTCATTCTGTCTATGCAAGACTGAAGTACGGTGCTTTAAGCAACCCTAGAGAGTTTTTCTTAGCAACTGAGAGGCTTCTGATGGAAGAGAAGAAAGAAAGAAGATGAAATTCCTCCGTGTTAATACCACAGTTGTTATCCACAGCATTCTAGTGCACTTCACCCAGTGAACCACAAGGCACAGAGTCCTTTTCAGCTTGCAGAGCCATTCCATATGGAGTTGGGGTAAGAAAGACATCAAAGAAAATGTTCATTGTTTGGCCATGATGTAATTTCATGACTTGAACTAACCTGAATTTGTGTTAGAAGTTCCTTATTCTGATAGTCCTTGTTTGACACGTAATGGCCTGGTCTGAGCATTTCATTGTCTCACAAGAAAAAGTGAAAAGAAATGGGCTGGTTTCCTTCCAGCTCTCCTGCCACTGGAAGCATGCCATGTTCCTATAGAGCTTCCTGCCCAGGAAAGCAAACTCTCTTTGCTTTGCAACAATCTTTCCTGCAAAATCCTGAGAAGGAAACCTGGATTATCTCTGTAGTTGAGGAAAGGAGGACAAAGCACTGAATGACTATTGGCTCATGGCAGGTCACACGGTGCCAGTAGGGGCCCAAACTGATTATTCTCCAAATCATATTTATCATGGCAAGGACTTGTCAATTCTTTGCAAGCCAAGAAACACTGAGATGGGAAACTGGCCTTTGAATGTTATTCAGATAATATTTAGGGAGTATTATTCCAGAAAGATGTGATAGCCACCTCAGCAAAAGTGTTATCAATAACTGTTGAACAGAAAATAAGAAGCTGTGGCACTGTCAACACCACAAGCAGCCTTGCTTAGTTACCTTCAGGGAAGTTATTTTCTGTACCTTCTTGAGTGAAGAGTTTTCTCTACAGCATTATTTTACTTATTTGTTCTGCAGTTGGTCCAAGCCCTCAGAGAGATCAGATATAATTTGAAACCCTGAGCTTATTTTAAGTTCTTTTCTGCTGGGTTTTGTGAGTTTTACACATTCCTAAGAACCCAGGGGTTGACACTAGAGAATGCCAGGGACTGACACAGTTATAAAAGCCACAGAATCTGTGAACAAATTCAATACAAGTGATGGTTCCATAGGAGCAGCACAAAGGCTTTGTTACAGCAAACAGTAAAAACTTCCCACACCCTTTAAGAGTTAAGCAAAACATCTCTGCAGTGTACTTGACTGGGTAATTTCTGTTTGCTGTGTACTGCAGCAGGAAATGCTCAAGTGTGATGTTTGCTGACTGTTGTGTTCATTGCTCCCACAGCAGGCTATGGACATTTCCAGATCACACTATCACACCATAGTGACAGTGCTGATCCATTGATGGCTTAAACTGCAACAAAAATTAACAGCTAGTTAATATAGTTCTATAAATGATAGGAGATAGGTGATGTCTAGTGATTGCTTCTAATTCTCTGTGAACTTTCTTTCCTAATTTAATGCCATTCTAATATGTGTGTTAAACTAAAGCCTATGGTCAGAGAGCATTTTCTTACGCTGTAGCTGTACCCTAGTGATCTTTAGGTAAGAATGTAAAGCATTCAATCCTTTCAAATGCAGTATGATTTTGCCTTAGACACTGTGCAGTTACAAGTTGCAGCCTAAGGCTATATTTATACCATAGCAGAGCCCTGGAAATATTATATATATACTACTTTCCCCATTACAATCTTCGGGGAACAATTTCAAGAAAGGGTTTTGACCCATGATTTGAATAAATAAATAACCTCCACTTGATTTCAATTACTGTCTCTCCTCAGTATTTTGCAGTTCTGACCGAGGACACTTGCTGTCATCCCACAGGCAGATACATTGCACCAATCAATGAGAGCTTTGAGCCAAATTGTGGAAAAGTTTTATATCTTAGAAGCACCAGTGGAATTGTTGCCCTCTGGAGAGCCAAAGGCAAGGTCCTCTGCCAGAGTGCAATGCCAGAATCACACACACAGTCTGGGAAAATGGCATAGAGAAGCAAGCCAAGGCACCTGGTGCTCAAGAAAACACATTTCTCAAGCTTCTTAGTGCACTCAAAGGGCATTAATGTTGCTGAGGGCATACATAGGGTGACAAAAAGAAAGTCAGTAAACATCTTTTGATGTGTGAGTATGAAAAAAACAAACCTTTTTGATTCAGTTCCTGCTCACTAGGCTGAACCAGAGATATTGTGAGGCTGGGAGGCAGACACAACCTTGAAACCTAATTACATTGAAGCTTAATGCTTGAAAATTTGCTTTCAGAAAGGTCCTTGTGCAATCGGGGCTATGGGCTGTTTCTCTGCTTTTGTCCTGCCACTGCACATTGATCAGATCAATGTGTGGAGAGGAATTGATCGAGTACTCTCTGTGCCTGGAGGCTTGAACGAGTAAGTGCCAAACATCAACGCTGTTTCTTGTTAGAACTTGCTTTGTGCAACACTGCTCAGCCCATGAATCCAGTTAAAACCAAGGGGACTCCGCACACTTTCTGCAGCACATCAAGCGTCAGCTTCCCTCACCTGGGCCCTGTGTGATTGCTTTAAAGGACTGCTGGAGTGTAACTCAGCTTGACCCAAGCACTCCAAGAAGTCAGTTCATAGCAGAGCTGGTGAAGAAAAACAGGATCAAAATACCTGAGAGTCTGAAAAGAAAGGCATCTTCACAACAAAAATGATCTGGAATAAACTGCATAGCAGAGAAATTATTTCTAGCTAGAACTTACTCGTCCTTACACAAAATAAGATCATCTGATTAATTAATTCAAAGTGAATTCTATTTTTTCTCACTGCTCAGTCAGTAAAAGAAAAGGACAAGTAACTCAATGTGGCCACTGAAGTACCTCTTGATCCCAGGAAAGGCCCATATCAAACTGCTTTCTTCCCAGACGCGAACAGAGTGTAGCAAGAGCTACAGTAACACTGTGTGCAACAGGGAGGCAGCTACGAGTCCTTAGAGATGCTGGACTACCTTGTCAATGCTGGAGATAAAGAGATAACGACTTCCAGAGCTTGGTCCCAGCTATGTGTGTTCCTAAAGGAAACCATCGCAATCCAAAGACTATTTTGCTGTTCGACAAAGGAACTAGATCCAGATTATGGCTTATTCAGATGTTTGCTGGAATATAATCCCAAATCAGATCAAATTAGCTCTCAGATATCTGCAAGGTGTCTGGGCAACCTGAAACGGAAATCTTTCACAATTCATGGTCTTCTCTGTTAATTCCTCTACAATCCATAAGGAGTGAAACTCCCAGCAGGAATATGCACCTATGGCACCAACACATGGCTGTTGATGTGCATTTATCAAATAAGGGCCAGGTTTAAACCCCCGTGGGGCAGAGGAGGCGAGGGCTGGGACAAAAATGTAGTCTTTCTTCACAGGCTTCTTCACTTGTCATCTGCAGCCAGGCCTGAACCAGTGGGTAGGGGCACACACACACACACACACACACACACACACACACACACACACAGAGGTCTGAGTTTTGGAAACTGAGCAAGTTTTTGAGTTCAGACCCAGCTGTGCATTTACTTGATGGGTTTGCAAGAGATGTTTGAATCATCTCCAGAATCCATTAAAGGCTGAAGAGTGGAGGCAGTCTAAGTGCTCCGAATGGATAAAAGATTAGAACTAGACATCTATATTTAAAAATACCCCAACCTCAGCCCCACAACAAAACCCAGATGTTCTCAGGATAGGATGAGCCTTTTGTGTGCTGTCCTCTCCACATGCTGCTCAGCAGTGCTTTTCTTATTTTCCTGTGAGAGGACTGTTCCCTTGGCTACCAGTGCTGGCCTGTAATAGTTAGCATTTGGGCAAAGGATGTTTTTCTTTCATTCCTGCAGGAGCACAGGGAGCACAACTGGACAGATTTCTGGTAGGCAACAGCTCCATATGATACCACTGAATCAAGTTATGTGATTTTTTGCCCTGCTGCACCCTTCCCTTCCAGGTGCTGCTCCAGGTCATCTCTGGATTTCTGTTGGCCACTGCCTTGTCAGAGAAGTGCTAACAGGACGTGAGCTTTGGGGCTTGTTTCTCTGCACAGGAGACAGCACACACTCCCTTTGCTGCCCCAGCCACAGGTATGCATTTACAGCCACATGCAGCAGCAGCAACAGCAGCAGCACATCATGAGGCACAACCAGCACAGGCAGCCTCATGCTGACAGGAGGGGCAGGTCACAGCAGACACAGCTAATGCCTGGGAGCTGTAATCAGTGTCTCTTAATCTTTCTGGCTTTCTGTATTAAGGACGTTGTTGCTTTTGCATTAGAGGAATTAGAATAGTCTTGTCTCCTCTTGAGACCTCAAGGTCCTGCCTTCATTTGCCATTAAGTGCTCTGTGAAACTCCATTTCATTAAAGCCTCAACACAGTGACCTTTGCACAACAACCTGCCCTCTGTAGTCCCTCCATAGTCTGAGGCTGCCCTCATTTAAATTACTCTTATGTGAAGGGAATCAAATACATCTTTTTCTTTACTTAAGTGCCTGGAGCAAACTAATGTCTGCAGCCATGAAATGTAACAAAGGGCATCTGATTCAGAGAGCAAGGTAAGGCTTCCAATTTCTATGGAAACTGGAAACCAACGTAATGGCAGGAGCAGAAGAGGAAAGCAAGAACACAGGTCCAAGAGATGAACAGAAACCTTCATATCTCAGACGAAAATTGAGAAGCCAAGGCAATAAATGTGGTGAATGGATGAAGAGTTGTACAGTAGGTAGCTGGGAATGTGGTAAGGACTTGTGATTTATAAGCACCAAATCCTGAGGCATAACAGAAGTAAATAAGGACACCACTAACCTGTACTGAGAGAAAAAGAGGAAAAGTCACAAATACAGAAAGGCTCTGCTGCTTTTATTATTTTTCCCCATGTGTTCTGGGGTGGCCATACCAGATACAAATATGAACAAATCTGAGAATTCAGGGACATGCCTGGTGCTCAGGCTGATGGATCCTATCTTTGTCAGTGGGATTGCTGGCTTTGCCCACCAGAAATGTTCAGAGAAGGGGAGGAGGAACATGGGACATTGGTGCAGGAGCTGTACTCAGGGTTTAATTGTTTTACAGGAATTTGCAGCGTTCTTGCCTAGCTCAGCAACAGAGAGAAGGTGATTAGCAGCTTGGTTTGCTGAGCCTGCGTGACCTGCTTTGCATTTTTGTTGAGAAGATGTGAGGGCTGAAACCTCTCTTTTCAGAGGCCAAAGAGGTTAAACTGCAGGGTCTCACTGCACAGTAAGTGTTGGAGTTCTCCTTCACTTTGGCATCCAGTAGCTGTAACCAAAGAACTGCCCAGAATCCAAGAGCATGGAAGTGCTGGGGGTCCACTGAGTGGTTCCATCAAGTCAGGCAACCAGCTCAGCCCATGACAGCTTTTGTCTTCCTATGAAACAAACTGAATTCTCAATTTTATTTCTACAAAGCCTCTCTCTGTCTGTTTTGCAAATGTAGCTGATTCCCAGTGATCCAATCCTTTGTCATTAACCTGGGGCTCTGCTTTTCCTGGTTTGTTCAAGAGGCATCACTTGAAGGCCACCCCAACCTTGCCCAGGGCACAGCAATGCACCCTCACCCCAGGATTGCTCTCCAGAACATCAGCCACTGCTCCCTGGCTTTCTGTGATGGAAACATCATTGTATTTAGATGCATAAGTCATACTCTTTTCATTCTTGCAGATAGCACAAGGTAATTTTGTATGAACGTTCTCCTGGCGAAATCAAATTTTATTGCAGGATGAGTGATATTTAAATGTATCGCCATGGGACACGAATACACAGATTAATAATGTATGTGTTAGATAGAAACCTGGGCAAATTGAGCTAGAAGGGCACAGTCTTGTGATTATGCAGTCTATTTCTCTGCCCCAAGCCAGAATTATCTGTATTTATCATCCCTGGAGCTATCTGCCCTGCTTAACCTCTGCCAGAGGCTTCAAAGTCTCTGCAGGCAATTTCTTCCTGTGTTTACTGATCTGCCCAGCAGAAAACTCATATTTTCCTTAACCACCACAAATACAATGAATAACTAGTAAAAGAACAACATGCAAACAAGCAAGAAGAACCCAGAAGCACAGATGCAGGAGCCCTGGCAGTCTAGGGGAAGCCTTACTTGATTTGAACATTTGTTTAGTTCAAGTTGACTACAGTAGGGTATTGTCTGCAATCAGGTGAAGCACAACAGTCCTTTCAGCATTCTGGGAGGTGCAGACAAGATATGATTCTTCAGCATCAGAAAAGATAACTAGCAAAGGGTCAGGGTAAAAATGCAGTTCATTGCAATGAGAGAGAGAGGCAGAACAAATGAGGGTAGCTTCTTACACTAGTGGTAAGGATCATCCCAGATTTATCTTTCAATTGTAAAGTGTAACTGCTCTTCAATTTTTATTGTTAGTGCTGTCATTGCAATGATATGCTAGAAATTAACTGCTTTATTTCTTTATTGATAAGAAAAGAGATTTACCTGCCATGTGATACGCTGATATTTTCAAGCCAGTACAAAGATTTTATCAGACGTCCCAGATAACTGAATAATACCTGGAATTAGAGGAAAGGAAAATAGTGGAAACCTGCTGCTCCCAGTTTCTGTTCCATTAGAGGGGCTATAAAGTGCACTAAATCCTGATTTTATTTAAAATACTTTTATTGGAAAGTGAAAGCTCTCCAAAGGCTGTGGTCCAGTTCCCCCGAAAAGAGGATCTGTGGTAGCATGTCCATTGCTGGCACAGAGAGCCCTGCTCTGTCACCGCCCCGGCAAGCAAAGCTAAAAAGCCAAAGCTGCTGATGTGACTAAGCAGCCCGAGATGGTTTTCCAGCCCTAATCTGTTAAACGACATCTGAAGGTTTGTTTGATGAGATGGAATAGAGAAGAATACATTGTCCTTTGAAAGATGGCTTCATAGATCATTTTTTCAGCCAAAACCTCCCATTTCAGACAAAGGAAATCAGAGGAAGCCCAGTGAGGAACATGTGCAAACAGAACTCACCCACCCCCCCAGCTCAGTAAAAAGGCTCCTGGCGTGACCTGACAACTCAGATCATTTCCTTTCAAGCACCTCATTTAGCAGAAGGCCTCAAACCACTTTCACTGACACAATTCTCTTAGATTTCCAAGGAATAAAACACCAGATCCCATTTGCACACTCTGCCATTTCCTTTTTGCATTAAAACTCTGAGCTGCCCTTATCAGGTCAGTGCTGCCTTATCACCTTCCCCAGAAAAGCTTCAGTCATACGTATAATGGAATTAATATTCAGTGCATTCCTCGTGTCTCAGAGCTCCCAATTTAAAATCCCAAGTGCTGGTTTGGGAGCTCCAGCAAACACTAGCAAGGATTGCCAGAATCTCTGTAGCTCCTGCCCTGCCTTGCCATGGGCCTCCCAAGTACAGCAGTGCCCTCAGGGAGCATCTCTGACCACGGGTTGATCCCTGTGGATGGAACAGACCAATGGAGATGGAACAGACCAGTTGGAGCACCAGGGGTAACAGGGCAGTGTTTCCAGTTAGCTCAACATCATGATTCAGTGACACCAGTAACAAATGCAGCCTAAGGAAAGGCAAAGCTGCAGAAACACATTTTATCAGGGACTCAAAAGAGAAGTCAATCTGTTTGCATATATTAGTGGGAGCAATCTCCATTAAAAAGCAAAGGGATGAGACAATTATGTTTTTCATACTTTCTAGAATCCCATGGTTTTTTACTATAGTTTAGTCTCTGCCTTAATCCTGTCTCTCAAAAGCTGGTGGGCTCATACAAGAGATCAGCCCTACCCACCTGCCCTTACTGACCCACAGCCAACTCCCAGGCCCTTCTGGGAAGGCACTCTTCCCAAAAGTACTTGGAGGTCTGCAAAGAATAGGGATGTTTAAAAAGATTTTTGCCTATGAATGGTCTGGAGTGACTAGAAGATGCAGAGAGGTTCAATTTGTCCATACTGACACAGTACACATCTGCATTTTCTCACTTAAAAAAACAAAATTACGTTGATGGGGTTTGTGGTTCCTGTGCTTGCCAGGAGATTGAATGGGGCCAGTTTGGTCAAATGAACCATTTTAAGTGCATTGCTTTGTGCAGGTGTCCTTGGGAAAAAAAAATAAAACAAAACAAAACAAAAGAAACAGCATGAGTCACTAACAGCCTCTTTGTGCTGCAATCACTTGTGGTTTAATTTCCTGAAATGAAAATTTATTGGGACGTCACTGCAAGTAATTTCACTGTTTTCCTTCGGGAACCAAAAGTGCAAAGCATTAAGCTGGCTAGAGGAATGTCAAAGAAGGCAGCAGACATGACAGGAGTCCACAAGTGGCACACACTACCCTGGCTCCAGGCCAGTGAGTGCAGATTTGCATTGTGGCAGTTTCCCCCAAACAGTTGTTCGTCACAGAGTGGCAAAAGAAATTACCTGCAACATTTGCTGCAACAGCTACGTGAGAAAATGGTACATTTTCTTACTGAAAATAAAGAACTCTTAAAATGATTTTGGTCATTATGCACCTTAAATGTCTGTGGCGGTAGGACTACAGGACTAATAGTAAGTGAGGTGGAGGGAGGAACATGAACTGAGAAAAGGCCCTTACCTAATACAGGCAGCAAAACCACCAGCAGAGATTCAGTGCCAGGTTCACAATGAGCTGGAAGCCACAACTCTACAAAGGTGTGAGCACAACACTGCTTCTCATGATACATGACCTGTAAAGTACCACGGCAGCCCTGAGAGAAAACAAGTAAAAAATGTTAGCTAAGGAACACAAGGTGTATATTAAGGGAAGATTTGAAGAATTCAGGTTTACCTATGATGTCAAAGTAATACTTGTACATTTGTTGGTATCTCAGAGAAAAGACTCTGGGGAGAAAAATCTTCTATACTCAGGAGGCTACTGCAAAGGACCTGGAGTACAAACATGGATCAGAGCAGTGGGCAGCACCACTTTTAGCTCTGGAAATTCTAAGTTACCTTATAGTTACTGGTACTATGGCAGAAAATCCTGAAAAACTTGCTAAAACCAGGGATAACTAACTAAAGATTAGGTGCTTCGTTTTCTTTAATCTGTCTTTAGCTCTGGTTCCTGTACACCAATGACATTTTTAACCCTGTGCTCTGACCAAACCCCCCAGGCTCACCCTCACACGGGTGTGCTGACAGAGCTGCGAGGTGTGCGCTGCCTCGGCGGGCAAGGCCAGGACTCACCAGGCTCTCCTGTCTCCTCTTCTGGCCGTTCTAGGATCTGTGCTGCATATTTTGCCCCAGGTGCAGCTGTGCTGTTCACAAGCTAAACCACAAAATGCTGCAGCACCACCCTTCAGACAGAGAGGTGACAAACTGACATGGTGACACTCACAGCTCAACCCGCAGAGTTGTGATATCCATCACAAAGGACATAAACATATTTTTCATTGTATAATGTATATATAAAAGCATTGTGTCTAATTGAATGTGCTCTATCTAAAATAAATTCTTGCTCCCTTTCTGCAAACTCAATGGAAGTCAAAGTAAACCCATCTGTTTCAATCCCCGAGACTAACACTGCTTCCTCTCTTCTATTAACATGAGTATATCCTGCCCTCCCTCGAACGGGAAATGCATCAACCCTGAAGTTTGATTAGTGGTAATCAGAAAACATCCACACCTGCATGGAGGCAGTGGGAGGCTTTTCAATTAAAAATGGATTTTGAGAGCATAATGTCTCTGTTTTGAAAGGACAAATGCATCTCTCAAGGAATATGAGCTATAAAAATAATTTGTGTATTGTGTTTCTTCAAGGACAGTAATGTTATCATAGAATGAAGTGTCTTAATTCCTAGAGAGATTAATTTCTACTCTTTGGAACTAAATACATTCAATGTTACTAAAAAAGTACTGGGGAGCTTTTCAAAGGCTGGATGATAGAACAGCCAGTGATTATCATCTCTCCAGAACCAGGTGTCTTTTTTTTTGTTCATTTTGTTCAAAAACCAGGTGCAAGGACTGTGGTGTGGGGACCTGCACTTGACCCAAAAGCAACCCAGCCAGGATTGCAGCAGGGCAGTGCATGGGGGAGCAGGATGATTATTGCTGAAGAAAGTAGCCTGGCAGGGGAGCAGTGTCTAACTGCAATAAGTGGGTTTTATTAATTGTTTCCAAGTCTTTATTATCTTTAATGCCTGTTGAAATAAAACCATTTGGAAGAAAAGTCCTCCCTGATGGTTTAACTTCCTCATCATTTGGTTAAATACTAAGGATGTTTCTGCTCCTTGTTTGTCAGGTTCCCAGTAAAGCCAGAGGAAGGCAAGATTTAATCTTGCTGTAACACCTAAATATAAACTGTAATCAAATTTATAAGCAGTATCTACAGGCCTCTTTCATAAGCCATAAACAGCTTAGAAAAGTACATCTGTGCACTTCTGTTTCCTTTTCATAGTCTTTCACCTCTGCTTCTATTTCCCTAAACAGAAAGATAATAGTATTAATCTATTCCTTGGAGCTTTTGTGAAGATTCATCAACTAATATTTATGCAGCAAAATGGAATAAGTGCTGTGTAAGTGCTGAGCATCATTACTGTTCTCTCTCTTCATTAGCTCATCATGGACTTGCCAAGAAGCCCAGATAAACACAGAAATTAGCTGTCCTCAAAGTAAGGCAAGTGAGACAGATAACATGACTGCTAGAGAGACACTAATTAAAAATGTTTGCTGTGGGTGATGTCTGTGGCTAACAAAACAACCCTGCGCAATTCAAAGAATCAAATGTATTTCTTTACTCGTTTGAACAAGTTCTGTCTGCAGCAAAGAAGCTCTGAGACTATGTCCAAATTAAATATGCTGCATGTTTCCATGTGGGTTGTGCTTCGGAAAACACACATATAGCAATAAACACAGGGAAAAAGGAGATCTGGGAAGAATTACTGAGGAGGTTTCTGGATTTTAGAATGCAAAACCTACTTGCTGCTTCAGCTGGATTCCTGTTTAAGATGCAGCTGCTGTGGGAGGGACATCCATGAGAAGTGGAAGGACAGCTCTGCTCAGGAGCTCTGCACTATGAAAGGGGAAAGACAGAAAGAAAAACTAAAACCAGAACAAAGACAAATTCCAGGAAAGAAGCCCGGGGGGTCGCAGCGAGGCTGTGGCTGGAGAGCAGAGGTGAGCAGTGACACACCCTTTTCAGGTAGGTGGGCTCTCCAGCTCCCAGGCTCCTGCCAGCACAGGTCAGGGGTGTGCAGTGCCCATGGCACTCGGCATCCACAGCACATGGATCCCCTGCACTGGGAAAGCCACTCTCTGCTACCTCTCTTCCACCTTCATTTAAATGCTGGCTTCCAACTTTCCCTCTTTTTTTTTTGTTACCAAGAAACAACCCTTCACTGCCCCAAGCTCTACCCACTGTGTGATCATTTACTTCTCCACTACGGATCTGTAAAATCCTGAGCTGCCAATGTTTTTTACATTGGAGAACACAAAGCTGATGCAGTGCCAAGTATCTCTCTCAGCTTAAAGACATGCCTTGGGGGAGTTTCTGTCCGGAGCTGCAAAGCTCTGAGCCCAGTTTGCCAGCAGAAGCCCCTGCTCCCTGCAGCAGCTGAGGGAGAGCCGTGCTCCCTGCTCCAGCTATTCTGGAGCGTCTTGCAGCAGTGGCAGGGGCTGCACAGCACCTCAGTCTGCAACTGGCTCCGTCTCTGCAACTGCTGTAGCAACTAACCCCCATTTCCACGGGTTTTTGATGCAGGAATTTAGATTAGTCCCAATACCATCAGGACTTCTCATTTGTCAACCTCGAAGTCTTTCCGTCTGGTCCATCTCAAAGCACAGCTGGTGGTTGTGCTGTTACACCTGCCCAGAACAGCTTGGTGTTTGCTTTCAGAACAGTTTGCCTTCTCTTGGAGACTTTTCATGATGTGGCACAGTGTTATTTTGTAGCTGAGGATGCTGGCATGAGCAGTGCTCAAGTACTTCAGCTGAAATAGTCCAACAGAAACGGCCTTTTTATTACTGCATCGGTCTGACACAGAAAATTGCCACAATTCTCTTCAAAATGTTGCAGGATCATAATCACAGACACTGTCTGAAGGATGCACCAGCATCCAGCTGGGCACGGCAGCAAAGGTGCAAGGGGAAAATGAGAATTTTGGGCAGAGGTTTTTGCAAATAGAAATCCCCCGTTTGGGAAATTGAAAACACATATGAGAATAAAATCAGGCTGTGAAACCCAATTTGCTTTTCTTTTCCAGAAATAACAACTCGATAATAGCATTCTGCTGGACATGAGCTTCAAGAGGAGGTGACTTTATTCCTACTTATGCAGAGAAGTTGAAGTACCCTTCCATTGAAACCCCACAGCCATTTAAGGGTGGGTTTACTTGAGAGACTAATTCCCCCATAACTGCTGGCTGGAGTGGCTGAGTCCTCTGCACAAGCCACTCTTCCCTGTATCTCTCTATATCACAACAGACTCCTGCACTTCCAACCTCCAGCTAAAGCTGCTCCTCCCAGCATGAATCCACAGTGGATGACTTGCAAAATGACAGTTCTCCGGTGTTTTGTTGATCAAGGAGCATCTTCCTAATACACTGATTAAAATTGTGCAACCAGGGAAGGAATAAACATTATGGAAGAAATAACCAACTTCTCACAGCACCTGGAATTTGTGGATTTGGCCTTCCAGTTGGCCAGACTGAGGCCCTATTTGATTAAGTTACGGTATTTTACTTATTACTGTAGTAAAGCCTAAGACTCCTTCTCACCCACCTTGAGCCTGTGGTTCTGGGAAATGCAGAAACTCAGTGAAGAGCTCATCCTGCATAAAACCTTTGCCCTTTGGGCATGCCAGGGTGGGATATCTCAATGCTAAGGAAGGACGTGTCAGAAAGAGAATTGTTGAAACGTAATGAGCCTATACATGGACACACCAATTCTCCAGGAAGCTTTAAATAATAGGCAAATTTAGATTAGACATTAGGAAGAAACTCTTCCCTGTGAGGGTGGTGAGGCCCTGGTGAGAAGCTGTGGCTGCCCCATCCCTGGAAGTGCTCAAGGCCAGATTGGATGGAGCTCTGAGCAACCTGGGCTAGTGGAAGATGTCCTGCCCATGGCAGGGGGTTGGAACGAGATGATCCTTAAGGTCCTTTCCAACCCAAACCACCCGTGGATATGATTCCTTTCACTGATTTATCTCCTCTCCTACACAGAAAATGGACCTTCTTCTCCCACAGTGGAGAGGCTGAGAAGGGCTGAGAGCAGCCAAGGTGCCTTCCCAGGTCTGCTCTTGCCTGAGTTCCTTGGGGCAGCACTGCATTAAGCACTTTGCCTAAAATTGACACTCCCACTGCTTCCTCCTCTTACACAATGTCAGGATTTAGGATTATGATGGAATTGCATCATTTGAGAGGAAGAGATGCTGGACTGCAAAGCCAAAGTGGACATGCCCTTCGGAGCAGTAGTCTGCTCCCTTGGCTCAGATTTCATCGCAACAGGATCACCCTTGTTACAATGCTGCTGTTTGAGATTAGGCTTTATGCTAAATCCATGACCCATTTTCATTCTGGGCTTTGGAAGGTAATTTGCATGCTTCAAATTTTGAATTATTGAAGACAAACTGATAGTTCCAGTAAGGGGCCATAAACTATACAGTGGATGCTGATCCCCTCCAACTCATTCAAATTCAGTCTCTCTCCTAAGGGAATCTGGCTCACAGGTCTTCAAGTCAGAATTCAGCTGGCAGAAAAGACAAACTCAGTTAATGCATTTTAAATGCCGGAGTCAAATCTGGCAGGGAAGAAAGGCCACGTCAGCTCCCAGTCTTTCATTCCATGATGTTACTGGACCGTGTGCTACAAAATCCAAGCCAGATGTCTTTATTATTAACAAAGATTTTCTCTCTAGGAATATCTGGCTACCTGATGGAATCTAATTGACCCTCTTAAAGAGTATTGAACCATTTCTTGTTCTCAACATTTGCATTTCAGGAATGTCCTAAAGGAAAAGGAAGAAGGATTAATGGTGAATGCTGCCCCATAATTTTCTTGATTGTTTCCTTTCAAGAGGAATAATCACCAAGGAGAAGCAGTGAAAACTGCAGATGGTGTGTGAGAATAAGTGCAATGTGCAGTTATAAAATAAAAAGTCTATTTGCCATGAACAAGAGCTAGTAAAAGAAACTCAGTGAAGCAGGACAGCCTTGCTGTGATCAATGTGGTCAGAACCTGACTGTCAGAAGACAAAATGTTCTTTGAGCAGACCATTACATTGCTTATTACATGCTCTCTGCATTTCATAACCGCTCCTTAAAGCAGCCTAAACTTCTGACATGCTCAAAATATTTCCAGATAAGAAGAGAAACACTTCACAGGTAAAGGATATTAGCGATTCTCAAAAAGTAAGTTTTTGTTGGTTTTTTTAGTACGTGTTTCAGAAATTAATAAATGGTTTAGTGCATTTCTTCCATTCAGACTAGGCAAAAAAAAAAAAATTAATCCGTGCAATTTCAACATTTCTGAGCCTGAGGCACCTCCTTATACAACAGATTTTCACTAAAGACATGTAGATGTGGCACTTAAGGATATGGTTTAGTGGTGGGCTTGGCAGTCCTGGGTTAACAGTTGAACTCAATGGCCATAAAAGTCTTTTCCAAACTAAATGATTCTGTGATTCTATGCAGGGGTGCCATCCCACAGCTCTGCTGGGATATCACACATCAGTTGTGACTGAATGTTAAATGCCTCCCCCCTGCTACTCTCAGAGGGTCACCCATGCACCAGAGTCACCTCCCTTCTGCTACTCTGCAAACGTTTGATGGCTTTGCTGGAGAACAGCAGGAGCAAAGGGAGAATCCTGAGGCAAAGTTACCAGCAGCTTTAGATCCTTGCTTACTTGTTTTGGTATCAACTGATGTTTGCTTGTCTGTTTAATCCAAGTATGAGTTGATCTGCATTTGATATTTTCCATAAACATTTGTGGGAACTGTGAGAGATGGACAAAGCTCTTTAAGGATGTCTCTGCTTTTCAGAGCTTACCTATTGTTGATTGCAAGCACATCACACAGTCTTGCCTTTGGGATTCATCTCACCTGCCTATAAATATCTGAAAGGATGCTTTCTGCTCCAAGACAGCAACCTGGGTCCCTTCCAACAGCAAATGCAGGAACACATGTTGCTACAGGGTGAAATCTCTCTCCTGGGCCAGGGGGCTGGGATGAATTGCCAAGTGCTGGTTGCTGTCTATTATTTTCACTGGCTAAAGGAGAAGTGTGGACAAATAGCTGAAACCAGCTAGTTTTTAGATCGTTAAAATAAGGTGAGACAAATGTACCCTTCGCAGCTGTATCTGTTTTGCTTTGCTTTTAAAAGATCTGCTTGGTTTTACAACACATAAGCAAGAATTCTTGCTTTCAGGACAACTGCAGGAAGATTAAAGGAACTTCCTTCCCCCAGTGGCACATTGTTACTCCTCCTTAGCCATGTACTGGTGTTTTGTTTAAGCTCCTTCCCTCAAAGCACCTGGGGCAGATGCTGGGTCGAAATGAACCTTTGCATGGGTTCAGGATGGAAAGTCAGCAATCCTGAATTCAGCAATCCTGATGTTTGAAATGAATACTGAATCATGCACAGCCAGGCTGCTGAGAAGTTTATATTTGTCTTTGCCTTTCCTCACTCACTAGTTTGAAAGAACATCTGTTCCAGAAGTCCACACTGTATAAAACTCCTGTTGAGCTGTTACTTCCCCTTGACTGGCTTTGGCTTTTAACAAGGGAAACATATGCAGAGCCCCACTCCCATCCAGTGCTCCCTTCATGTCACAATCCACAGCAATCCTTAACTAGGACTGCAGACTGCAAGGGGGTCCTGTCAATCAACATCATCACTACCAATATGAGGTCTTTTAAAAATGAGAGATTAATTATAGTAATAGTTAACTGCAGTTACCTGGCAGGACTGTCAGAAGAATCCATAATGGAAAGCCATATGTTACAGCCACACCTGATGCTGGGAGAGACACTGCCCTTTACACAGATTTCTTGGGTTGTCCAGCAGGGTTTGGGTTGGG